AGAGACCTCCACTCCTAGACTGGAGGATTCATCACTCCCTTCCTTGCTACAAAACGTCTACGCTTACATTTCCACCCCTCACAATCAGTCCTGATAACAATTATTCACTGTAGTATCACAAGTGACCCATCTTGTATTTCATTTCATCAGCTCCGCCTAGACAGATTGGATAGTACTAACTGGAGATTCTGCCTTCCTCCATGCCCCCTCGCTCTAGGTTCCTTCTTGAAAGCTTGTAAGCCAGTCACTTCTTGCCTTTGTAGTCCCCCCCACCCATTTGGGTATCCAGTGTCCAAGTTGCCCATCTTTGTCTACTCTGTGTGTGGAGGGGGTGGGAATGTTTCTTGCTGTAAGGATTTGTTCCCTCTTTTGAGTCACTGCATCCATAGGTGTAGGTCAAGTTCATTAAATTGTATCAGATCACTCTTTTTTTCCTCTTCTTTCTTATCCTGGTTGAGCTCTGATCATCCAGTCATCCAGGCCAGGTCACTTGGGTACCATCTGCAAGTGTGGGCGTTCTTGTGCACATGCCCTCTCTTCCCATTAGCCGGTAGCGCCACTCTCCACTCGAGTCCTCCTCCATGGCCCACGCCACTGACTCTGGGCCCAAGAGTCCCCAGGTCTCCTCACACTGCTGGCCAACCAGGTCCCCATCTGGGTCCACAGAAGCCCACCGAATATTGTAGGGCTTAGCTTGCCACTTCATTGCTGCTTTTACCCCATTTCCCCCTATCAGTGATGCGTGTAGTTTCCTCTAATTTTGAATCTTGCCACATTAGCAATTGAAGATTCTGAATGCTTTGCTCCATCCCTATAATTAAGATCAATTCTACTCTTCCCTAGTCATGTTTTGACTGCCTTCCAACCTGAGGGGGTTAATAATCAGTCAGGCCCTTTATCAGAGAATGTCTTGCTGCTATGTATGCAAAAGAGTTTAACTGGCCAGTTTTCCTTCCTCACCTGTCTTAGTGTGCAAGTTCTGCTGAAACTTGTCCAAATCAACCAAATTTGCCAGGCAAAAGAGGTCATGCATATTTCTAAGACCCCAGTTTGAAATGAGCAGTCAATTTGTGAACCATATTTAGAAAATGTACCATATAACTAATAGTTTAACAAACACAAAATAAAAATTTATTGGTAGTAAACACCACTACAGACACATTTATTTATTAAATTAGCAAAGAAATGTTAAATATGAATAAAAAGTATTGCTTGCAACATTTGTATAAGAGGTACCAAGACCTAAATTCTGATACATACCATCAATTAAATATTTTGAAACTATTAAGAATAATATTTAAGACTAGTTAATAGAATATTTAATAAAAATTTAAAGTATTTTAAAATGCAAACTAAATGTTAATGTGCCTGTAATTTTATAATTGAAAACAAAGAACAACTAGTAACCTTGTAAAAGATGCATGGGAAGAAATTGAAAACTCAAGAGGCAAGTTAAAAGTCTTAGTATTTCACATGGGAGGTGAAGTTTTAAAAGATGGGAATACATAGCAGAGAAAAAAAATTTATTAAACTTTAGTGATGGATCAAAGGTCACGACTAATACCAAGCTTTCTATATAAGTGACCAGAAATACAGTGATATTAATATGGAAGCAATTTGTAGGAGAATCACATTTCGTGGGGGCGAAAATAAGAGTTTGGTTTTAGAAATGGAGTACCTGAAACATAGATGTTGAGTTATAAATAAATATGGGCCTTGTAAATAACATGGCCAAAAGCATCAGAAGAAGATATTAAAGTCTATTAGTGAATAATTGACTTACCACTAATTAGTCAGTACTGTAAGCATTTAAATGATGAAGAGTCCAAGGTGATTAACTGAGTAAAATATTGTAATTACCATTGAACGTGGTAATGACTGCAAAGCTTTCTCAAAATAGAGAATTACAAAGGGACTGTGTAAGGGGGAGTGGATGAGTTCCCTTCCATGTGTTGTTAAGTGCCATCTAGTGGAGTGGCTGGTGAGTTTGAACCACCAACCTTGCAGGTAAAACTGACCTGGCAGTCCAGTGCTTCATCCTACAGTGCCACACCAGGACTCCATGCACTTTCATAAACAATAACTTTTCTGTAAATAGTGTTAGACTTAACAAGGTCAAGCATCTTGTTTTCATCTCTAAATCATTTACTAATTTTGTTTTACTTCATTGCTAAAATCAAGGGTTGGGAACCTTTTTTCTGCCAAGGGCCATTTAGATATTTATAGCATCACTTAATATAAATATGTGTTGGTATTTTAAAAAGCTCCTAGATTTATTGAATTTTGAGTCATTCCAGTGATTATTTTGGGAGGGTTGGGCCAAATGATTTCATGGCCTTTATAAGGCCCTCGGGCTGGGGGCTGGACATTCCCCACCCCTGACCTAAATGTGAGTTTCACCTCCCCCACTAAAGGAGTGTTTGTGCTTAGATTTATCTATTCAGGAAAATAGAAACATTAAAATGGAGCTGAAAATTCTGTTTTATTTGAAGCTGTATTTTGGATTTTTTTTTTCCCTTTTTGGATGTTCTTCTAAAATTAAAACTTAAATATTTTTAGAACCCAAATCCATATGTCAGAAACATTTCAGACATGTTTAAGGAATAGTTGGCATTAACAGTTATCAGTGTAGGTTTTCTGTATTTTACAGAATTTAAAAGTGTTGATAGTAGCCTCTTGTCTAATTTTTGTTATTATTAAGTTTTACGCTGTGCAAAGTAGCATATAGTAAGTCAGTTGTTTTTTTCTCTACTTTGGTGTTTCAGGCTGTCCATATGGACTTAAAAGTGACTTACAGTTCACTAGGTAAAAACAAAAGAATAGTACTTTTTTCTTTTTACCTTCTGTGGTCTCTGGGGCTGTACTTGGGCTCTGCTTTGCCAGGCACCTGCCGTGAGCATCCTCTTCCGTTAATTGTGTGGCTGGTTGACACTGCAGGATCCCATCCAAATCACAGAAGAACTTCATAGTTTTAGAGCTGTCTCCAGAGTTACGGGCATGTTTAACTGTTCTGTATTCATATTTGAGATTTTTGTACTTCGCCCGGCACTGCTTCCAGTCTCTGAATACACCTAATGCTTGCAGCCTTTTGGCAATATAAATAAATATTCCTTTATTTCTCAGTGTTCCATAGAGTTGTTTTCGTATATTTTTTTCTGCCCAGACACTCAGCAAAGCTTTAACCTCCTCTTCAGTCCAGTGTTTTCCTGCTCCACTCTCCATGTTGAAAGTGACCTGGAAATGATTCACTATTTCTAGCCAAGGTTTTGTTTCCTAGGAAACCAGACGGCTGGTTGTCAATAAGCTGCACAGAGCTGAAAAGATCTTGTTTAACTGGTTCAAGCTGCCTGAGGGGAGTAACTGGAGAAACTGCCAAATACGCGGGCTTTGTGATTAAAGCAGCTTGGACTGAAAAGATTCCTAACCTTGTTCTTTTCTACTTAAAGGAAAATTACCCTTGTGACAAAAGGGTAAAGAATACCATTTTTGCATGTATTTCTTTTATTGTTTACTGTGCTCTACCAAATGATTTTTAAAAATTGTTTTGGAAATGATTTTTTGAGATTATTATCTGCCCTGATGCTTATTGTTAACATAAATATTTTTTTTCTGACATAAATCCTCTATTCTTCTAGCATCAGTAAAGTTAAGGACCACATCATTTCACTAAACAAAATCTTAATTCATAATTTATTTACTCTCATAGAATATAGTATTATGCATATCTATTTTTAGTGTAATATTCAATTCATTGATAAAGAAAATAATTTCAATATTATTTTAACATTTACTTTGCAAATATGTATATGTTGAAATTATTCTTGCTATTGAAATGCTTAATTATATAATTTTGAAAAAGATTTTCCCCTAAATAACTGAGATCAGTGTACTAACAATTATTATGTATACACCTAAGTGGAGTCTAGGTGGTGCTGTGGGTTAATGCGCCAGACTGCAAAGTTATTTGAATTGCAAGGTTGGTGGTTCAAGCTCTCCAGTTGCTTCCTGGGAACCCTGTACAGGGTCGCTGTGGGTCAGAATCGACTCGATGGCACTTAACAACAACAATATGCATATCTGACAGAGGTTTATTTTTCATTTCTACCCTAATATTTTTTGGAACAAAACATCAGTAAGAATCTCTCTCATTTACAGTACTTGTTGCACACTATTAAAATCGTTGAGCAGTTAGGCCCGTTGTAATTAGAATTACACACTCTCACACATGTGGTATCCTTCTAGCCTGTGTGTATTTCATTGTACAAAATGAATGTATATGTGCATAGTCATCCTGTTGAAACCTTATGTAGACTCATATTATGTTGTCTGAGTTGTAATCCTGGCCATGCCATCTGCACTCTGTGTTACAGTCAGCAAGTTACTCCCATTTCTTTAGTGCCCTTATACGTAAACAGGGATAGTAATAATAGTACCTACTTCATAGGGTTGCTAACAAAAACCAAATTAGATCATTTTTGTAAAGTACCTACCATAGTGTCTAGCATGGCATTAGAAGTATATCTGTAGTGCATTAGGACGATATCTGCTTTTATTACTGAGCAGCAGCATCATCAGTACAAGTGGTACTAATATTATAGCATCAGATATGTTGTCAGACAAGTTCATGGATGTCTGTTAAAGATCTGTTGAATAAAGTTCTGCAGCTAACAGATGGTACCTTTTTGTGTTCACAGGGGTCAGGAGAGTGCTGGTATTGTGACCAGTGATGGCAGTTCAGTACCAACATTCAAAACACATAAGGTATATTTGAGCACTTAAGAGTTTGATTATAGAGGTTTAAACAGCAAGATGATAACCAGTTTAACTAGTTATTGATGTTAAGTGCTTTCTAGGTGGTTCCAACTCATAGGACCCTGTAGAGGGTTTCCAGGGCATGGCTGGTGGGTTTGAACTGCCAACCTTGCAGTTACTAGTCTAGTGTTAACATAGGGTGCCACACACAACTGTTGTTAAGTGCTGACAAGTTAGTTCCAACTCATAGCTACCCTGTATAGGGTTTATGAGGAGCAGTTGATGGGTTTGAACTGCCAACCTACAGCTTAACCTGTAGTGCCACACCAGGAGCCCACCAGGACTAGAGGCAGGGAATTTTGAATAAATAATTTGATGAACTATTTCTAACTTCACTGTCTAGCATTTGTCAAATTGGATTAATTTCTTTCCAAGTTTATTGCCTAGAATTGACAGATGCTTTAATTTTTTTTAACATGCAGATGATTTCAGTTTGTATTCTATGCTTAGTACATCTGACTAGCCTTTTTAAGAGTATGAAGCCCAGATAAATCAAGCAAACTGTTTTAATTTGGGATGGTTTTTTACTTACATCAGTACTAGTCTCTGTTTGTTTCTAAGATGTGTTATTACTTTGACTTAAGGGCATGGGCCTTGTAAATCATGTCTTTACTGAAGACAATTTGAAGAAATTATATATTTCAAATCTTGGAATTGGTCACACGAGGTATGCCACTACTGGAAACAGTGAATTGGAAAACTGCCAGCCCTTTGTTGTTGAAACACTTCACGGAAAAATAGCAGTGGCACATAATGGCGAATTGGTCAATGCTGCCCGCTTAAGGAGAAAGGTAAGTTTTTTTATTTTCCTTTTTAATGCTTTCTTTTTTCTTTTCACAATTGCGGTTAGTTAATACGGATCATATTCAAGAGTTTTTATCTAATTGTTGCCACCTGTTATTTAGCTGCAAAGAACATTTGCATCAGAATTATTACCTGAAGAACTTGTTAAATTACAGATTCCAAGAGGTCACTCCCCAGGCTGTGTGGGTGGGTTGGGCTGGGAGGAATGTGTGCTGAGAATCTCCATTTAGAGTACAGAGTTAGTTAATATTGGAAGCACAGAGAAGTTAGAGTTACTATCCCTTTAATTTTATCCCCATTCTCAAAGCATAAGAAAATGGAGTCTAATATTGAAGCTGACAAGTTTGAGAAGAGAAATGTTTTGGAAATAATTACAGGAAACTAAAGAAAGCCTATTTAAAGACTTTTTCACTTAAGATTATTGGGAACTGGATGTGTTAGTGGGTTTAGTTCTGAGCCTATCTTTTGTCATTTCATCTTCTCTTTATTTCCCTTACTACTTGATGTTTTTTTTTATTCCTGGTTGTTGTTGTTAAGTGCCATCGAGTCAGTTCTGACTCTTAATGACCCTGTATAAGGTTTCCAAGTAGCAGCTGGTGGGTTTGAACTGTCAACTTTATGTTTCACAGTCCAGTGCTGATCCTACAGCGCCATACCAGAAATCCTGGTAGCTTCTTATTTATCCATTCATGGTGTTCATTAGTTGATGTCAAATTTCTTCAGTTCATTAGATTCCAATAAGCTTGTTTTCAAAACCTCAGAACCAGATATTATTTAGTAATAGGATGATTGCACACACCCTCTCACACTGCTATCCTCTTAGACTCTAGGTCCTGGCATTTCTCATGGGATAAATAGTTACAGAACTTAAATGATGATGAATTGGTGAGTGGACAACGTTGAAAACCCAAGCATACACTGTACAACACATTGTCCTTCTGTTTCTGATTCCAGCTTTGGGTATTTCTCTAGGCTTTGTCCTGCCCTCTTAGGTGTTGGCATTCTAATGAAGGTATAGCCTTTTGTTCCTCCAAGTGAAAAGACGTGGTTTGTTTAAATTTTTCGGTGATCACAAAACTTTAAATATGAAGTAATAATTACAGGAAAAACAAACCCCCCCACCCCCCACCCACAGCCTCATCACTTTAAGAAAACCACTAAGCGTTCAACTCTAATCGGTATCTAATTCATTATTTCAAGACAAAAATCTCTTGTTGTTGATGGCATTGAATCCATTCTGACTCATAGTGACCTTGTATAGGGTTTCCAAGGAGCAACAGCTGGTGGGTTTGAACCACTTATTTTGCAGTTAGTGCTTATCCTACAGTTCTATACCAGAACTCCGAGATGCTAAACTTTACCTCTGCTTTGTCTACTGGAAATGTTTTCTTGTGATTTGGAGTCAGTTTTATTAGCCTGCACACGTCGATGGTGATATTCTTGTCCCAGTCAGTCTTGTTCAGGACTTTGTATTTATTACAGAGTGCACTCAACCAATTCAAGGGGCTTCAAAAAGTTTGTGGAATATTCCATTATCTTTTCATTCTATTTCTTCACGAACTTTTTGAAGCCCCCTCATTTAATTAGTCTTTTAACTCTCAGAAATAATCATTGAGGATAGGTAACCACCATCACTAGCACCAGTTTGAGAGTCACTACGATGGTGTGCCAGTCTTACTTACAGGAACCACTAAACAGGAAGCTATTCTATTTGTCAGGGCTGTATTCTACACCTGCAAAGCTCTTTCATAACTACCTGCAACGCATGCCTGCATTTCTTCAAACAGTCTTCACAAGCTTTTTTCTGTATATTTTCAAAACTGTTTCAAAACTTCCACAGACTTCCCATTGCCTGAAGAGAAGTAGACTTACTCTTAGTGGGATGTAGGCTTTTTGTAACATGCATATCAAATCAACAGAATGCCGATTTCTTTCTGTTTTGTCGGGCTATTGGGTATAAGGTAGGCTGGAGCTCCCTTTCTAATGATTCAACTTTTCCCCCTCTTAAATAGCTTCTCCGTCATGGTGTTGGTCTGTCAACAAGCTCTGATAGTGAAATGATTACCCAGCTACTGGCATATACCCCTCCCCATGAGCGAGATGACACACCAGACTGGGTAGCAAGGTAATTGTAAAACTGGATTAAACTGCAGCTCTGATAATGAGAGCTTTGCCTTGCATGTGCTTATAACTGAAGTTATTCATTTGATTATTTAATTAATTTCAGGATTAAAAATTTAATGAAGGAGGCACCCACAGCATATTCCCTGCTGATCATGCACAGAGATGTTATTTATGCAGTACGAGATCCATATGGAAATCGTCCTCTGTGCATTGGTCGTCTTATTCCAGTATCTGATATAAAAAAAGGTAATGAATATAACTTCAAAATGCTTTCAGAATCATTGTACTGCTGGCACACCTTGAGATCTTTAGGTATAAGAAATTTGTGGGTGAGGAAGAGATAGGTAAAAAGTACGTTTTCTAGACTGTTTATGAAGGAAGATGACTTGCTTTTCATTTAATAATTGGATATTCCTATTTTTTCCTTTCTGAATTTCCTGTTTATATCATTTGTCCAGCCTTTTCATTTGTATAATATCATGTTAGTGATTTTGGTTTTGATTATCAGATAAATGTCTTATTCAAACCATGGAACCTTGGGAGATTATTTACTTTAACTTTGGCTTATACAAAATTAAAATCCTTAAAGTCATTGAAATGGATATTCTCTGAACTTTTTCATGTATGTGTTTGGTATTTAAGCATTCTCTTGAAATAGGTACAGGTAACGTCTTTTAAAATGCCGTGAGTACATTAACTGAAACGATTGTCCTGTGATTTACAGGGAAGAACCCTTCGGAAACAGAAGGATGGGTGGTGTCCTCAGAATCTTGTAGCTTTCTGTCTATTGGTGCATTGTAAGTTTTACCTTTCTCATATTATCTTTTTCCACATTGATAGTAATTTTTCTTTTGAATTTTATAAGAAAGTTTTTTTCTGATGATGGCAGGAAAACATGTATAAATGCTGTTTCTTATATACATTGTGCCTCATAGTTGCAATGACTTTAATGTCCAGTAATTCCTTCTAATGGAGTTCTGATGTGGCGTTGTAGGATAAGCAGTTGCCTCCTAACCACAAGGTTGCTTTTCAAGCTCACCAGCTGCTCCTCAGAAACTCTATATAGGTCACTATGAGTCAGAACTAACTTGATGGCACTTAACAAAACCTTCTAGTTCTGAAACTGGCATCTTTCTTTCAAAATGCTATGAAACATTTTAGAATGGAAGGATCTCCTCAACGCCACAATAAAAATGTTCACATTAGAAATAATGTTAAGATACTTGACTGTCTTATGAATAGTGGTTCCCTTTGCCTACTACTACAAAATAGACACTTGAGTGGGATAGAAAGGAATATTGGAAACATGATTCTGGAAAGCTTGTAAACCCGTCTTCAGCCTGATTCAAATACCTAAAAGGGGTTCTAGAACTTGCTCAGTGAAATAGCCCTCCTGTGGAGCTTTGTAGTCTATAGGATCTAAGGTAGAACCCTCTAAGGTGGTCCATTCCTACTTGAAATGACAAACAGACCAGCCTGGAATAGCTAGAGGAACAGAAGATACTTCTTGAAAGAAACACCAGCAGGAAAAATCCAAAACAAAAATGGTAGTCTGACTGGCTACTACAAGAACAAGTAAGTTTTTAGCTGGGGAGCCATCTAGGCAAGCAATCAAGTCCCTTCAAGACAAATCCCCTTCCAAGACTGAAACTCAAAAGGAACTCATAAGCAGGCATGTAAGCTTGCTGGCGACCACGTTGGTCTCCTGGTGAGTGGAAGATGGGAAAAGGCAGCTATGAAGAAAGATATGGGCTAAGTTCGACTACGTTCCATAGACTCCCTTTGACCTGGAGACGAAAGAGAGAAGAGGAGGGGTTGATTGATCCGAAGTGTGGTGAGATCTGGGGACACTTGAGACATGGACAAGGACATAGCCACAGAGGGCTAGACTTGAGAGAGCGAAGCATCCAGTTAATAGGAAGTGAGGGGAGATGCACAAGAATGTCCAAACTAGTAGATAGTATGCATTTGACCTGGCTACAATCGCTTGATGATCAGAACTCAAGCAGAGGAAGATAAAAAAGAGGGGGCCGAGGCGGGGGACATCTTTTTTTTTTTTTTTTTTGATAAAGGAAATAAGTGTAAATTGCCACAATTTGATGAATGTGACCTATACTTATGGATGTAGTAGCTCAAAATACCAACTGAGAGGGAAGGAGTCTTTACATCCAAAAATCAATCCTATCCACTCTGTATATAGAGTTGATAGGGACGGGCAACTTAGGCATTGGCTACCTAAAATGGGAAGGGCTATAAAGGCATGAAGTGACTGGTTTACTACAATCCCCACTGAATAGTTTTCCTCTTGTCTAGACAGGTCTAGTGAAAGGAGATGGGGATAAGAGTCTTATCATTCAATAGTAATTGTTATCATGACTAATTGTGACTTGTCACAACTGTATAGGTAGATGTTTTGTAACAAAAATGGGCGAGTAGTTAATATTACAGTCCAGGAACAGAGAACCTCTTCTCTAAGAACATGAGCAGAATGTAGGACCCTATCCAGAGAAGCAGCGACACCAGAGATGGAAACAGAGATGAGAGCATGGAGAGAGGGAGCAGCTGAGGACTCTAGACTCATGGAAAGAGAAAGGCTGTGTGCTGGCAGCCAAGTGCTGATGGTCAGGGGGCAGGCTTGTAGAATGTATCCTTTGGTTGTTTAAATGATTATATATTCCTGAGTACTTTTGTGTACATCCCTCCCCTGCAAAAAAACCCCACCAGGGATTAGAAGCAAATACTGTCAAATGATGATGCACTGAGGAGATTGTAATCTTTTAAAAAGTTACGAGATGAAATTTAAGGAAAAGATTTACATAAGTTACTGCTGGAGACATATATACTCCACATCCCCACCCCCACCCCCTTTTTTTGTGTGGGGAGGGGAAGCCATCTCTAGACTTTATATTAAACTAGGCATTTTTCTCTACAAGAGAGGGACTCTGTATGTATTTTATATTAGTTTTAAAAATTATTATTAGCCTGCTTTAAGGTCTTATTTTAACAACTCTTTCTTTAACGTTATTTCCCAAGATATTACCGTGAAGTCTTGCCTGGAGAAATTGTGAAAATATCCAGACATAATGTGCAAACACTTGCTATTATACCAAGGTCTGAAAGGGATCCAGTGGCTTTTTGTATCTTTGAATATGTTTACTTCGCAAGACCAGATAGCATATTTGAAGGTAAGAGAAATTTTTTCTCTTTGACTATTGCTGATAATAACTTATATTTATCTTATTGGAACATGGCAAGTAAAACCAGTTTATTTCCTTTTCCAAATATCCCAGACCAAATGGTTTACACAGTAAGATACCGTTGTGGTCAGCAGCTGGCAATTGAAGCACCAGTGGATGCAGATTTGGTCAGCACTGTTCCGGAATCTGCCACACCTGCTGCTCTTGGTTATGCAGCAAAGGTTTGTGTTCTTGATTAACATGATCCAGCAAATTGTTCGCCTTTTAGAGGAATAAGAAATCCTTGTCTACAAAGAGAAGTCTTTGTCAAGTTATTGTGAGGAGAAAGGAATGTTTAAAGGTCATATTGATTTATTTACAAGCATTATTTATTTTCCAGTCTTTTCATTCAGTGCCACTATTTTAATAAAAACCATAAAAAGCCTCACTCAAAGACTTGGAGTCTGGTCTCCTAATTATTAAAAAGACAACATCATAAATATATCTAGAATTTCTGTTAATTTTTACATTTGTTTAAGAGAGAAGCATTACAAGTTCTAGGAAAGTTATTCTTAGAATAACGGCATTTTGACTTTTTATATACATCCTTTAATTGCAGTATGACCTGCAAAAAACAGGAACCTACAGTATTCTGCATATTGATGCTTATTGTCCTTTTCTTTCTTCTCCATCAGCGTGGGCTTCCATATGTGGAGGTGCTGTGTAAAAATCGATATGTAGGAAGAACCTTCATCCAGCCAAACATGAGATTAAGACAGCTTGGTGTTGCAAAAAAATTTGGAGTTTTGTCAGACAATTTTAAAGGCAAAAGAATTGTTCTTATAGATGATTCAATTGTGAGAGGCAATACCATCTCACCCATAATAAAACTGCTCAAAGAATCTGGCGCAAAAGAGGTAAGTGATGCTGAAAGGCCTCCGGAGCACTATTAGTGTGATATTGTTGTAAAAATTGTAGTTCAGTAAATGAATCAAATGGATAGTAGAACAAATTAATTTTTTCTATTCAGCTCAGTTTAGGAATAACTAGTAATTTGAAAGGAGCCCTGGTGGTGTTGTGGGTTATGTATTGGGTTGCTAACTGCAAGGCTGGCAGTTCAAACTGACCAGCTGCTCTCTAGGAGAAAAAAGATTTACAGTCTCAGAAATCCTGTGTAGTTGGAATCGACTGTAGATAGCAGTGGACTTGGCTTTGCTTGATAGTAATTTGAAAAATATGTACTGCTGCTGCCTTTATATACTGGGAGCATGGTGGGCCCCACATAATAAGCACTGGACTCTGAGTCTGAGGTTTGAACCCACCAGCTTTCTGCTCCTGCAAAGATTTAAACCTTGGAAACTCTAATCCAGTGTTACTATGAGTCATACCTGACTCAACAGTACTTAACAGCAAACCCTTATATGCTAAATTTCACCTTTAATAAATTTGAAAACTAAGTATAAAAGCTTTAGAAAATATTTTAAATTAATTAAAAAAGACTAACCACAGAAAATAGAATACTCAAATCTATGGACTATTAATTATTCTTTATTTGAAGACATCAAAAGAATCCCAGTGCGATGAATTAGATAGATAACATTAAGCTATATTTTTAAATTTCAAACTTAATTCTTAACTAGTTCTATAATACAGATTAAAGAAGCAGGAAGGAGAATTGATTTTAAAGTCTCTATGATTCGGATAATCAATCTCTTGAAATTTTTATGTGAAAATCATGTGCTATAAACAGTTAAAAATGCAATTCAGTATTTCCTATGATAGCAAAAGACAAAAAGAAAAAAATCTGGAAGTGTCTTAAATATTTACCAGTAGGCCAATAGTTTAGTAATTGATACATCAGTATGCTGTAATATGGTGCAGCCATTAGAAATAATAATTATAATAACTGTTGAACATGTTAAGATATTCGCTAGTATGAAAAAGGTTTAAAAGTAAATGCACACCTTGTTTTGCCATTACCAAAATAAACCACGTCAGTTATTGTTGAGTTGACTGGCTCATGGTGACCCTATGTGTTGTAGAGTAGAACTGCTCTATCAGGTTTTCAAGGCTTTTAGAAGCAGCTCTTCAGGCTTTTCTTTGGAGGTTAGTAATCAAGCATTGAACTGTTTGTGCCCCACTGCTGTTGCACTGATTCTGATTCATAGTGACCCTGTAGGGTAGAAATGCCCTGTAGGATTTCCAAGGCTGTAAATCTTCATGGGAGCAGACTGCCTCAGTTTTCTCCCAGCTGAGCTCATTACCACTGAGTCACCAGGAATTCTTTATAAAAACCCAGTAAGTCCACTGCTGTGCATCAATTCTAACTCATAATGACCCCATAGAACAGAGTAGAACTGCTCCATGAGGTTTTACCTTTGTTGTTGGTAAGTGCAATTGAGTTGGTTCCAATTCATAGCAACCTTGTGTATAGGCTTTCCAAGGAGGAGACCTTGTGTTTAGCAGTTCAGTGCTTATCCTACAGTGCCACACCAGGACTCTGCTATTATAACCACATAACTCTACTTGATCAAAGGTAGACAATAATAATATATATGAAAGCTATGCTCTGTCACATTATTACAGTTTTTGTTTTAACCTGCTAGATCATAGATTTTCATTTAAAGACTTTTTAAAGAGATAAACAAAAGTGCCATTCATGTATTAAAAAAGAAAGTGAAAATTGGTCTAGGGAGTAAAATCCTTAAATGAGAAAGAAGTAGGAGATTGTAAGGAAAAAAATTCCTCATTAATAAATGACAGAAAGAAACAGTAGATGCTACATAAACAACTCTTTATAAGTGGCTGACATTTTGAAGTTTTTGTCAAAGATATTTTGGAGTCTAGAGAAGTCTGTTCTTCAAGTAAGATTCTTTGGTAATAAATTAGTTTTGTAAGTAGTTTTGACTGCATGCTGGAGTTTTGTATGTATATTAGGTGATTTTCAGAATTCTTTCTAGTCTGTTATTCAGTGAACAAATTGTGTAGTTTGCTTTCTTGTTCATGTATTGTTGTTAAATATTCTTTAAACAATTTTATGTTGCATTTATCCAACGAAAGAGAATTTTGCATAGTTATTGTTACAGTTCAGTTCAGCCATAATGAATGTGTGAAATTTTTTCTTACCAAGGTACATATTAGAGTAGCCTCGCCACCAATTAAATTTCCATGCTTCATGGGAATCAACATTCCCACAAAAGAAGAACTTATTGCCAATAAACCAGAATTCGATCACCTTGCAGAATATTTGGGTAGGTATTAAAATTTCTTTGAAGTTTTACCTTGAATCCTTTATTAACAGAGAAACTCCAAAGCTTGTAAGTCTTTGCACTTATTTAAGTAGTGTTAGTTAGAGTGCCTGGCATGTGTAGATTCCATAGGATGTGCTGTCATCAAGGTGACATCAAAGGAAGATGAAAGCCTCCCAGGAATAGGTGGCTTAGGTGGGGGGTGGGATGAGACTTTCTGGGTAAAGGGAACTGCAAGTTAAGTGTATCATTTAAAGCCCCCCAGAGGTCAGATGCCAAAAAAACCAAAACCACCCTACTCAGCGCCCAATAGATGAATTCGAATATGAATATGGATAAAGAGTAAAAGTTTCTGTAGGCTTACAAAGAGACTAGGAGATGTAGATTATTTTGGATAAGACACTGCCCTTTCAGATCATACAGGTAAAGTCTCATAGATATTCAGCCAGTGTGCCCTGGTTATCTGTGGCAGCTATTTGTTTTGACTAGCCATGCCTGTGCCTTACCTGTTAGCATTCTAAATGTCACACTGATGGGTATCTATCATATTGTGAGCACTCACTGTTTGCCAGCAATTATATTACATGCTTTATCTTTATTTTAATAATAATAATAATGTCTTAAAAACCCTGTGTTGATTTCCAGATGAGTGAGGATTAAAAAAAAAAAAAATTGAAAAAGGTAAATGACATTGAGCTTAAATTCGAATACAAATATTCCAGATTTCAGAATCTGCTTTCCTAATCAAGGAAATTACTCTGGAATTAAAAAAAATTCATCCTAGCCTGGAAGCTTCTACTATTATTTTAAATAGCATTATTCCATAAATTCCTCCTAAAATAAGTAAAGGTTATAAGTTGTGGTCTTTCCCCTTTTTTTCATAAGAAATTTCAGAATTTAGAAATTCAGAAGAAAATTTTATCTTGGTTTAAGTTTTTCTATTTGTAGCCATTCTCGGTTGAGGCAGGTCTTTCAAAAGGACTCTCATGCCTTTATTTTTTTCTCTCCCTTTATAGGAGCCAACAGTGTTGTGTATCTGTCAGTGGAAGGGCTGGTTTCATCTGTACAAGAAAGGCTAAATTTTAAACAGAAAATGGGAAAGCAAGATATTGTGATCCATGAAAATGGAAATGGTCTGAAGTGTTTTGAAAAGAACGGTCATTGTACAGCTTGTCTCACTGGAGAATACCCTGTAGAATTGGAATGGTAGCTGCTGAGGGTGGATAATGGTTTCAAAATACAACGCTGGTCAAGGAGTTACAGTGGTTTACTGCCTTATGGATTTCATGTTACTTGGTTGCTGTTGTTGCTGTCGAGTTGGTTCCTATATATAGCAGAATGAATCACTGCTTGGTTCTGCAACGTCCTCACAATCATTGCCATGTTTGAGCCTACTGTTGCAGTCCATCTTGTTGAAGTTTTTCCTCTTTTCCCCTGACCCTGTACTTTACCGGGCATGATTTTCTAGAACTAGTCCCTTCTAATACCACATCTAGAGGCAAAGTCCTGCCATCCTCACTTCTAAGAAGTATCCTGGCTGTACTTCTTCCAGGACAGATTGATTCGTTCTTCAGGAGTCCATGGTATAGTCAGTATTCTTCACCAAGCCCAGAATTTACAGGCTTCAATTCTTCTCTGCTCTTCCTTATTCATTTTCCAATTTCCACACACATATGAGACAATTGAAAATACTATACCAAGTACTCGGTATTAGACTTAATTTCATATTTTCAACAGTAATGCAAATAATTTCTGTGTTAGAGGGGAATGCCACCCTACTACACTGTGTAAGAATTCTTACAGTTCATCTTGTGGAATGTTTTTTCATATTTGTTGAAACTCAAGTTACGAAATTTTTCATAATTGAGCTAATTGCAATATATGAATAGGGTTAAAAAGTACCTGGGAAAATTCTGTTATCTCTTAATTCCATTTGTCAACTTTTTAAAGCTTCCCTGTATGGTTTTTTGTTGTTGTTGTTTTTGTAAACATAAACATTGCCTAGTCATATTTACATAGTCATAAAAGGTAGGTGCTAAGACGCATCGAAGGCCTGGTGGCATACTGGGTAAACTGCTCAAGTGCTAACTGAAAGGCTAGTGGTTCAAACCCACCAGCCACTTAATGGGAGAATGATGTGGCTGGCAATCTGCTTTCAAAAAGATAACAGCCTTAGAAACCTCTGGGACTGTTATACTCTCTCCTATAGGGTTGCTATAAGTTGCCATCAACTCAGTGGGCAGTAGGTTTGGTTTGGTGGGACCAAGGAAGGAAATTGGACACAAACAGAATAGGTGAATTAAATGCAACATTGCAAAGTTACACTCTGTGTCTAGCCCTTAGAGTTTAATTATAGTTACGATTTTGACTTCCCTAACTTTCTCCGTGGGAAAAAGAGGAGGCTTTCTGCTCCTGTAAAGATTTACAGCCTTCAGAACCTTGTACAGGGTCACTATGAGTCGGAACTGACTCCACGGCACATACCAACAACATCTGACAAGTCTTCTTAACGAACAACAAAAAAATCTTTTGTGCCTCAGTTTCCAAACCTGTGTAGTAAATAGTATGCTTATCTCATTAATCTAAAGAATTGATTGGAATGAATAAATCTCATACTTTTAGTCGTGAGGTACGTGATTTTATACCTTTTGAAATGTTGACAGTTGCTCTGCAGTTGAAATTTCATTAGGATGGAGGAGACAAAATTTGGCATTGCTTTGCAGCTCTCCATGTCCCAACAATGGTTGTCAAAATGTATGGGAAAAGTTTTCCTCCATTTGACCAGACGGTATAGGTCATAATACATAGTATTCTAATAGCATAAGCCCAGCAAGTAAGCTTGTACATTTGAAATAAGTTTAGATGCCAACAAAACACTTATCCTTAGTTTGATTACTTATGTGTTTTGGAGTCCTGGTGTGGTGCTGTAGGTTAATGCACTGGACTGCAGAGTTGGTGTGAACCACAAGGTTGGAAGTTCAAGCTCACCAGCTGCTCCTCAAAAACCCTATACAGGATCGCTGTAGGTTGAAACCGACTCAACGGCACTTAACAACAGCTGCAATATTCTTTTTAAAATGAAGTGCTTGATCAACTTGCAAGCATATATGCATACATGTAATTGTTATTAAGTGATCAAGCAAGAAATGCTGTATGGGCCTGTTTTGAGTACAGATCAAGGAGACAGCTAGCTTTTTAGAATTAGAATGCCCACATTCAAATGCCAGCTTAAAACCACTTTTTGTTGTTGTTTTTAATACTGGGTTTTAATGAATTGAGTTTTTTAAGTTGTCAAAAGGTCTCATTTATTAAAATTTTTTTTCCCATTGTAACATCTGAGATTTAGAATATTAAAGGGACCTACACACCACCACCCATTTATGTAGATTTAAAAAACAAACAAACATGATAGTGTTTCTCCCCATGTTACAAAGTTACCACAGTTTGCTGTATATAATATCCTGATCCATTTAAGAACTTAATATTTATTAAGAACTAGAGATCTGTTTCCCTTATTTTGTATATAGTCTCAGTATGTTACATTGTGGCAGACCAAGAGAAACTCTTGGTAGGTCTTTCAGCCCACTGCAGTGGCTGGTCAAGAACCCTGTGGCAGTGGCCTAAGCAAATGACATTTGAAGGAAGCCAGGGACCATCTCACAGTGTGTAGCCTCTTGTCTTAAATGGGTTCTCCAAAGAGGAGGCAGAGAGCAAGGCCTTTGGGTCAAAATTAGAACCGGCTGGCCTTACATTTGATTTTTAAAAACAAGAGACTCAGGGAAAGTACAAAACCAAATCTTTCATTTGACTTTATTTTTTCCATGGTTTTTATTTTACTTTATCAAGATCTTTTTATAATGGAAAGTAGTACTGTGACAGTTTGGTAATTCTACAAATTTCTTACTGTTTTTTGCCTTTTATTTTACAAGTTTCTGAAGTCTGCATTTAATTACCCATTTTGATTAATTTAATCTCCAATGTTGTTTAATTGCTTTTAAAGTTATATAGAGTATTGTAAACTGTAAAGATTTAAAATGTGTCTTCACAGGATCTGTATTGTTGTGAGCCAAACTAAGACTAGTTTTCAGTGACTTTTTTGTGATGTCTTGATGAAAAATATATACAAGAAAATTATGTTTACATATGTGTGTGCGTGATTTTTTAAAAATTTATTGACTTCTAGTTAGTGCAGCATATAGCTCAAAAACAACATCCAAGCCAGATCTAATTTCTCTGATCCAGGCATATAGTGACCACCTGTTATGAACCAGACACTGGGAAATATCCAGGGTGAGAGTATTTTTATTGTTTTTAAGTGCCATCGAGTCAGTTCCAACTCATAGCGACCCTGTGTAGGGTTTCTGAGGATCAGTTGGTGACTACGAGAAATAATTTGAAATGCAGTATTCAGTAAACTATGGTAGTGATGAGTATTATGAAAACAGTAGTGGGATGTGGAGGTTGCCATAGAAGACTTCCCAAAGTGTGTGTATGTGTGTGTGTGCTTGGTGTTTTAAATAATTAGCTCATACTGCTCTTTAGTGGACTACTTTTAGACATCTGGAGTCCTGGTGTGGCGCTGTGGGCTAATGTGTCAGACTGCAAAGTCGTTTGAACTGCAAGGTCAGTGCTTCAAGCTCATCAGCTGCTCCTTGGAAACTCTATACAGGGTCACTATGGGTTGTAATCTGCTCGACGGCACTTAACAACTTTTAAACATCTAGTTCTTCTGCCCTGTATTGTGCAAAGTCAACTTTGACAGGTAGATATTCATATCGACCCTCAGAATTTCTCCCTAGAGACTAAAATGCTACTTGAATCCTTTCTTTAGTGGGCTTCAAGTAGTGCCCACATGTTTCTTGAAGAGGTCAAAATGAAAATCCAGATCTCTGAAAAAGTTGTGTACTCCTTGGAATGACATTTTAGGATAAGCTGTAGTGTCCACTGTAAATATATGGGTTACTTTGTGAAGAAATTGTCTTCCCACATAGCTGGGAAGTTGTTGGACACCAGGAACCAGTGCTTTAACAATGTGGAATCTAACATTTAGTGTAATGCTGAATTCCCTGCGCTATGGCCAAATAGAAAATGAAGGTGACCAAATGGGCCCCTGCACTCCTCTTCTCAGTCATTGGAAATTGCTTGTTTGGCTTTCCTGTTGACATACTGATGGATAGTCACAGATACTGTCTTGCAAACAGCTTGATCTCCTTCATCCCTCTGTTCGTAAATTGTCACCTGGCAAAATCCCACACCTGAATGAACCTAACCACCACCTATTTTCTGTTTGACCTTACTTGAACAGCTGAACACTACTGGAGTAAACCACACAACCCACTAACTACTTCCTCTCCTAGATTCCCCATATTACTATTTCATTCAATTTCTTATTCAAAACCCAGGAGTGTTCTTGAAACTTCTCATTTCCTCATTCCATGTTTATTAGTCATCAACTGGTTAGTTTACCTGAAAGTAAGCATGCTTCTTCGAAGCGTCTTGTGTCTTCGTTACCACCAACCTAGTGATAGTCATGATCTCTCACCCAGAATATAGTAGCCCCTTTCCCTTACTCCATTCCTTGCTCACCCAAATTCAGGCTCCATATTCTAAAGTAAATCCTTTTGTCACCATAGCCTGCTTAGAATACTAATTTTCCATTGCTCTAATTCTAGTTGAAGGAGCTCTGGTAGCTTAGTGATTACAAATCAAGCTGCGAACCTCAAGGTCAGCAGTTTGAAACTACCAGCGGTTCCACGGGAGAAAGAGGAGGCTTTCTGCTCCTGTAAAGATCTGCAGCCTTGGAAACCCTGTACAGGGTTGCTATGAGTCGGAACCGACTCGACGGCACTTAACAATTCTAGCTGAATATCAAACGTCCCTGTGTTCCCTGCTGGTCCTTTCCACGTTCATTCCCTTTTATACATTTCATTTCTTTTTTACACTGAACTCCCTAGGTATCTCTCAGTTCTGTCATTTGTCTTTGTAGGGTTTTTTTTAACTTCTGAATTGAGTGAAAGTTTACAGAGCAAATTGATTTTTCCATTCAACAACTCATACACATTTTCATTTGTGATATTGTTTGTAATCCCCAAAATATAACAGCAATTTCTGTTCCTCCTTTCTTAACCCTTTCTGTGTTCTAAGTGTATCCCTAGGCAAATGCTGCTATTTTGATCTCATGTGGTTAGTTGTTAAAAGAATCCATACCTC